CACTGTGATTTTAAATCCACCTGTGTACTCACCTTATAGGTAAAAGGGAAGAGGGGAGAGGCAATCATTATACAGTTGCTTTTAGCATTTATTTTAAGAGCGGAACAGTGGACTTGGGCTAATGAACCAATGTGACTTACTCACTAACCAGTCAACCCCTTTGTTAGTGTAGTCAAAATTCCAAAAAATATATATTTTCTCACACCCTTGAACAAAGATGATTTATTTTTCTAAACTGCAGCCAAGCTTATAAAATCAAAGTTCATACATGCTGCAGCACGCCATCTGTCAAGGGGGATCTAGATGAGCTAAACAGATGCAACAATTCAAGTAATTTCTGACATACATAAACAAAGCTAGCTTGGAATCAGTATTAAAAAAGACTCAAGTCCTAAATGCTTTAAAAATGTCTATGAGAACTCATCCATGTCCTAGAACAATCTCCACACACTGTGTTTCCCTGGAAGAGAGGATTTTCCATTCTTAGCCTTCTTGTGCCTGAGGACTGCAGACAGTAGGTAATGGCAGAGAACTCAGAATAATGAATAAATGGTAAGAGACCTCTCTCTTTCTCTGCCCCCTCAATGTTTTGGAACTAAATGGGAACACAAACTCTGGATAAATGAAAGGAAAAAATTCTAGTAAAAAAATGTGAAAGTTTATGGGCTGCTTACTACATGGCATAGAGTGCTCTAAGTGCCTTGTACATACTCATTAATTCTTAAAACAATCCTATGGAATAAGTAGCATTACTGCCCTCATTTAAGATACAAAAACTGAGTCTCTTGAATTTTAAAGAACTTGATGAGGGCCATACCACTGGTAAGTACAGAGCTAGAGACCATTGTGCTCCGCTGATTTAGAATGTACTGACTCTCTTCTCTAGATCCTAGGACTATTGGAGCTGCAAACAAGCTGGAAACATCTCAGACTCTGGGCAACCATTAGCTTTCCTTGACTAAGCCTTTCTAGAAACACAGCCTGATAAAGAAACAGAGGAAGCAATCTAGGGTCTGCAAGATCTCTTCTTATCCCTGGCTCTGGGTTCCTCTGTGGTCACCTGGACTAGCATCTTTCTGCAATCATGCTCCAACTTGAGGACTTTTCTGTTGGACCCTGCTCTGAACTTTCCAGCTCCTACAGGGGCTCTACTATGTGCCTTTCTCACTGGCTACCAATTTCCATTAAATTTTATTTATGCTCTTTGGCTTTTGATTTTTACAGTAGCATATGAAAATAATGAAAATTGATATAAGAGGAATTCTGCCCATAGCGAATGTTTCTTGGTCTCAGTGTTTCTCTGACAATGGTCCTTGGGTGCTTGTTCAAGTATCAGTTGGAGCATCTGAGAGAATGGTGGATTTCAGGCTCTGCCTCACACCTCAGGCATTGGATTCTGGGTGTACAGCTGGAGAATTTTTTGTTTTTTGGTTTTTTTTCAATAAGCTCTCTATGTGATTCACACACACACACACACACACACACACACTAAAACACACACACACACTACCTGTCTCTCTGGGAGATGAGTGTGGAGGAAGAGAGTGGGCAGAAATAAACTGTGCATGTGTGTGTGTGCGTGTGTGTGTGTGTAAATTATAATATTACATGTTATATATGTATTTACTTTCATTCTTACCAAATTGTCGTGTTACACACACACACACGCACACACACACTAAAACACACACACACACTAAAGTTGTAGACTCACTGATGGATACAAGGTTTCATACTAAATTACCTCAGTGGTGAGACTGCATTTTCTTACTAAGGAAAGCAGTAAGACCTTCATTAAAACAAAGTCTGTGGAGGACTTGGTCGACCAGTTAGCTTCTGCAGTTCACATGGAGATTCACAGTGTCCTTACTATTGAGAATATTAAAATATATAACAAAGTGCAATGTTGTGGAAATTTTATATAGGTTATTCCCCAGAAACAACTGTCTTATTTAGTGATGTAAAATAAAAGACCTTTCACAGAGGACTAGTTGCTAGCATAGAGTGAACTCAGGAAAATCTTCAACTGATTACAAGAAAAGAGGGAGCAGCAGAAACAGCAGGAAAGAGAGGAGGAAAACTCTGACTTTCTTCAGCCTCCAAGTGTGTAGCCCTCATCCCAAGAATTTTAATCCAGAACAAGCTACATTCATCACAAATTGGATTTAATTTGTTTATGGTGGAGCCCTTCACTCCAAAATGCTCACCCACTCTGTTTTATTTTGAATTTAAACTCCACAGGCATTCCCAGTAGATCCAAGGAACCACTATTTGCATGATGAGTTTCAGGGAAATAGTCTAACGTCATCTATGGGCCCTTGATCAGACCAACCAGGTCAGAACCATTGCGGCTGGAGAACAGCAATCCCTACATTTATAAAGTTCCTCCAGTTGATTTGGCAATCAGCAAACCCTGCACCAAGATTATAGAATATTCTCACCTTCTGGAAAATCTTACTAATGTACAGTCTCCAGTATAAAAATTGAGTCTTCCTATGCAATTTTTAGAAAATACTATTTGGTGGGACAAGAGTTTGAAGCCATGTATCTGCTTCTCTGTAAGTAACACAGTAAGCTTTATCCTAAAGCTGCATACATGGCCTCCTTCCAAAGTGCCACATACAATTTCTAGATGTAATTTTATATTCATTTTTAAATAAAGCATTCCAATTTGTGCAAACATTAAATACTACAAGCCTTGAATCTGCCCTTTCTGTAAATCATATCTATATAGCAAAGCCATGTAAAATAGCACTACTTTAAAAATTTAACAGCTTCATTTTTTTCAAACCAATGTATTCACCAATTCTTTTCTTTCTTTTCTCTTAACCCAATGTTCCTGCATGTAAGCAGTTCATTTTTATCAGGCATCCTCATAGTCAGAGACAATATTGGTGCAGCAGCAGCCTGGGACAAGGGCTCATAGCAAGAACAGATGGACCAGGCAAAAGCCTACCCAAAGGAATATGACAATGTCCTGTGTGTGACAGCTGTTTTAGAAGTCCAAGTGGGTAGCGTGCTTCAGAGATTAAGTGGGGACTCTGAAACCACATTATGTGACCTGAACTAAAATTGATTGATTTATCCACTGAATTTAATAGAAGGATATCATTCATTCTGAATAGGAAAAGATGCTTGCTGCATCTTCCCTATTCATGAGCTCATTCTCCAATTTGAGAAGGTTGCCTCATGCTCCAAGCATAAAACAGCCCCATATCTGGGAAAGCACAGGTTTTTTTCCCCCTGATACTCAGAGGCTTTCTGTACTTGGGCTATTTTTATTCAGCAGCACAGACGGTAGTATAAGCACAGATTTCTTCAGCAGTTTTTATTATAGCAGGTGTGGGATCCTAGGCTATTGTCCTTAAAACACACGTTCACTTCCTGAATTTGAACAGCTTGAGAACTAATGCCACTCTTTATCTGTGATCATTCAGCTGTCTACTTCTTGTTATAAGGGAAAAAATGGTACAAAACCTAACTCCAGGAAATCTTTTTTTAGATGAAAATGACTGAGATGTCATGAAAGACTATTATAATAAATCATATTTTAGTCATTTCAAAAGCAGGAAATATCTGAAAATGAAACAATCTGGGGCCCCACAAAAGAATCACTTGAGACAAACCTGTGCTTAGACACAGCAGTAGGTTTTACAAAATCAAACGATAAGTGGTCTACCTTATCATATAATATATCATATCAATGAGACTGATTGGTGCACTGAATACTATTGTCTTGATCCCAGCAGCAAAAAAAAAAAAAAAAAAGGAATAAAGTGGTTTAATGTTGAAAATATATACCAAACTGTGAAAAAGAACCACCCAGTGAGCAAGATCAAAGCAGAGCTGTACACGGCAGACGGCAGAAATGACTATCCATATTGAAGATTGGTTCTTCCCTCTTTGTTAATTATACAAGGGCTGATCAAACATTTTACTCCAGTCACACTGCTACTAATTTCCCTCAAAATATTCCCTCTGTGTTTGAGCTCACTTATCCCAACATCTTTGCCACTTTCTGGAGCAGTTCTGGAAGTTCTCTTCTGTGAGTTTCTTTATAAAGTGTGATAAAAATTCAGTGAGTGCTGCAGCCGCCATCCAGTGGAAGTCGCCCTTGGAAACCATTACGGCATGTTTTTCTCCATTTTATTTACAAGACCTGGTATCACGCGACTTCTGATTTCTTTCACAAGGTCAAAGTGATCATGAAAGGTAAACGTTTTGAATCAATTCTGTACATCAAGGCAGACCCGGCAGCATAACTAAGGACATGTAGGAGGACTTCTAGAACTGCCTCGGAAAGTAGCAACAATGATGAGGTGTGTTTGAGTGAGGGAGCTATTTTAATGCAGATTGTCAGCAATGACACTTTTACAGTAACACATTTTAAACACATTTAAATATTTACTGTATTTTTTTTCATGCCTCATATACAGGTATGCTAGACCTGCCACTGAAGGGGTCTGGTACTTCCCTGCTCTCCTTTATTTATTTAATCAGGCTACCTGCTACTTATCAGCAATGCAAGAAGAATGAAAATTTTCTCTTCTAAGAGAAGATCATATCATATCTAAGATATGATATGATATCATATATCATATCAATGAAGAGATGAAAAATTTCTCTTCTAAGTAAGGCGGTGAAGAAGCAGGTAAGCCTTAATCATTTTTCCCAACTACTTATCAGCAATGCAACATGAGAGTAGATGAAAAATTTCTCTTCTAAGTAAGGCGGTGAAGAAGCAGGTAAGCCTTAATCATTTTTCCCACTCTTTCCATTTCCATCTGCCTGCTAGATGCTAACACTGAAAATGCCAAAGCCACCAGTATCCTAGATCTCCCACTGATAGCATCACATTTCCACCCAACCTGGAACCATCTTGTATTGGTAAGTGAGGGAGAGATTAAATTAAATATATGCTTCTTAATGTTATAGTTTGCTCTCTTACAGCAAGCACTGCCTAGGAGACCATCAGCTGTGTTCCAAGTTATATACCACACCTGTTATGTGAATGCGATATTCTTCCTTAAAGATCTTCTGAAAGAAAGGGATCTTGAACTGCATGTGAGGAGTGTGCAGCCCAGGGAGGTTTACATCGACATCACCCATGAAGTGTGGGAATTCCCAGTCCTGTCAGAGAAAATCAATATAAAAACATATTTGTGATTTGTTCCTAAGTAGCAAAACACCCCAAATTGACTTTTTATAAGCACTTATTTTAAAATCATTTAAATGCAGACAGCTGTTGGGTGTATCAGTTTCATTCTGTGATGGTTATTTTATGTACTTTAGGTAGCAGTATGCTTTCAAAATCAAAATTAAGTCATAATTTAGATTTTTCTCTTTAATGTGGTAATAAGAGACTAGCACAGAAATTATTTGTATCTATGCATGTTCATCTCTTTCATTTTGGAGAATTTTTTAGAAGATGGAAGATGTGTATTTAATAAATTTGGAACAAATTTACTATATTTTGCTTCACTACTTTAAAAAATATGAACTCTATAATAGCATCTATTATATAAGAATACAGAGGTTTTGATTAATTTCACCAAGTCCTTCAACTCACACCCAGGGACTTTTATTAATCATCTCTGCTATACGCTGTTATAGAGTGCACAAATGCCAAAGACTTTTATTCTGTTCTTTTGCTATTCAGATTGATTTGAGCCAAAAGATGGAGAAGTTGACATGACAGCATGAGAAACCCACAGTGAATTAATTTCCTAGTTGCCATTAGTTTTTTCCTTGTAGTCAAGGCAAAACTGGGCAGGATTATTCTCTCTCTTGGAAGAAATGGAAATAGGTGAATAAGAGGTCAGGTTTAGGTGTCTCATCTGAGAATGATTTTTAGCTAGAGGCATCAAATCCGAGGTCCTAATTAGCACAAGAAGAAAGACTACTAATTTGAAGAGACATTTGAAATGGACAATGGACAGCAGTATGGTGAAAAAATAAGAACCAAGACCTGTCATGGAAAGGTTACAAGATCCCAATGATGAATGTAACAGTATTGTTTGCTTTAAATGTACCAATAAACTTAACAGGAAAAATACACTTTATATATAATTTCACATTTAATACATAAATTACCACTAAATGATCAGCCCTATATTAGGTTAATATTTTTAGCCAGCTTGAATGTAAAACCATCATGAACAGAATATTAGTTACTTTCAATATATCAATTCAACATAAACAGTTAAATATATCCAAGGCTTCTACAAATGCAGCTGATGGAGATTGCTAACGACACTTTGCCAGGGTGTTTTAGGGGTGTTGGTGTCCACTCCAACCTGCTAAGTATTCTAGATAAGAGAGACAGAGCCCCAAAGAGGGGACAGTGTATGGTCACAGAGACCAGCAGAGCCTTCAGTGTCTATCAGCTTTCTGATCTATGGGCCATTTCCAGCTTCTGATAGGAATTAAATGAACCAAATGAAAAATGCAAAGATGTGGCATCATCCTTTTATCAATGTGTACAGAAATCTCCTGTTGTTCTCACTTCCCCTGTCTTGTAGGTATCAGCAGCAAATCGATGTGCAATTTGGGAATTTTCAAAAACCCAAACCATGAGGTATGAATGAGTATTTTGATCAGTAATATTAGTAGAAACAGGATTGGTAATAACACCTGTAATCTACAGGTGAGGTTGAAATATAGCATCTACTTTTTTTCATGCACTGATACGATTTTTGTTCTTTTTATATTATTTGGAAAACTCTTGCAAAGAAAACTAACAGTGAATTTAATCTTTTGTTAAAATGTAATTGATGAAACAGTGTGCTTGGTAAATAAAATGACTTCAGTGGTACCTTGGTTCACTAACTCAATTATCTCCACTATTCTGGTCGCAAACTGGACTGGAACTGGACAAGAACTGAATGAAATTTCCCCATAAGGTCAACACTAAACCTAACCATTGAATTCAATTCGGTTCTTATCCAACTCTGTTTGCAACCATAATCTTGGAAAGAATCAAGTTCGTGGACAGAGGTTCCACTGTAATACCACAGTATCTTTCACTTTCCCTGGATCGGTGTGACACAAGCATTACCAATAGAGTTGCTCTCCTTTTATTTCTTGGTTTAAGGAAGAGATTGTTTCTGGGTAGTAATTGGGCCATTTTTTTCACAACTGTCTTCTTTTTTGGAAAGGCAATTTTTGAGTGTTCCTATTTAATTCTTTCTTCCATGAAATGAAAGTTTTCTACTCGGTGTGAAATTGGTTTTAGTTTGAAAATAATCTCTAAAGATTTCTTGTTGACTGTGATCAAAACCCAGTTTTCTAAAAAATAGTTTCTAAATTATTTTTCACCTGTAAAGAAACATGAGTTGAGAAAATTGGGAGTGGAGGGGTGAGAAGGAAGAGATAGTCTTGGTGTTTCTCTGGAGGCTTAACTTTCTTTTAAGTAGAGATCAGAGAAGGGAATTGGTGGCAGGGCATAAAAGCGTGAAATGTGAAAGAACAGATGGTACCACATAAGAAAAACATTTTAGGAGAATGAAAAAGAGATGATGTCTCATTCATAAAGTCTCACAGACCCACCCCTATTATAGTCATTATGTGCTGTTTTCAAACTCTTTAAGTCAATCTCTGAACTCCCTTCCTACATACTCTCTCACAAATAGCCAGTTTTTTTACTCCAATTCCTACTCTATATACCTTTTTAGATTCATTTTTCTTAGCTCAATACAAACTCTGGCCTCACTTGACTTGGAATGGAAAGGGAATAATATCTGCTACCATTTGGCAGGACATTTTGAGCTCATCTTGGTGAAAAATGGAGGCCAGTGAAAGCTCAGGCATTTGTTTAAAGAAAGTAGAAAGAGAAGGGAGGATGACATTTTGAATCTCTCAGCTTCAGTCTCTTCACCTATAAATTAGTATCGAATACATCAACCTCACAGGCTCGTTGGGAGGCTGAGATGATGCCTGGACTGCAATCAACACATTGGTAGAGACAGAGGGAAGAGTCACGGAAATGGCCAATAAGCAAGGTTGATTTCCTAGCAAGATTCCAAGGTCAGGTTTATTCTGAGAAGGAGGAAGAGGGAGCTGATAAATCTGTCTTCCAAGTCAGTCACATATTGGTTCTTTCAAGATCGAGGTAATAAAGAAAGAAAGGCATCTTCTCCTTTCTGCCTTCATCTATTGTACACCACCCACCATTGACATTGAGTCAGAGTTGAGTTTTCCCAGAAGCCCCTTGGGCCCAGATCTTAGCAGCTGTATTTCTCTTTCTAGCATAGACAATGGCCTCACTACTGGTTCCTCCCTTGTGCCATATGAGTCATACTGTGGTGACCTCTAGAGATAATGGTAAGATTCACTAATGGCACAGAGAAGGGACACATTGTTACTATATGTGTAGAAGGATGAGATAGAAACATGGGCAGCCAAAGATAAAGGACATCCATGGACACTTTCAAAGTTCTAATATCATTGTAGGCTGTATGAATACATATATGACTATATATGTACACACACCATACACAAACGATCCTGAAATCTTGCTATCATTGACTCATTTTTCCCAGTTTTATGGAGGTGGAGTGGATGAATAAAAACTTTATGCACTTAACAAAAGTCACAAAGTAATGTTCTGATAAATGTATATGCTATGAAATGATGATCACAATTCACATATCCATTTATAGGTGGGAAAATTTGCCTCAGAGCAGTTAAGTCACTTGTCTATAGTGGCAAAGGGGCCCTGCAGCAGAGCCCAGTTTTTATCTGGCTCCAAATAACGCATTTTCTGCTAGGACAGGCTGTCTCTAACCATGAAAAGTCACATTACTTCCTCTTTTAAATTTAGAACTGGAATTATTTTTACTTACTTTATGTGTTCTAGTTGAAAAACACCTGTTAGTCTCTTACTAAGAGCCAATGCAATGAGAGCTTTAAACCATTTTTTTTTCCTTAGAGGACTTTCCTTTGATTCATGTGAACCTAATGTGAACAAGAAGATCAATTATAATTCTTTCCCTGTGAGACAACTGTCCCAGGCATTGCTGGCATCTAATTAGGCTGTGATGAGCAGAATGATTTGACTAATGGGTGACTGACAGTAAACACCAAGATGACCTTGGCATCGTGACTACGGGGGCATAGTCAGCTTCACACATGCATTCTACACAAATGTTGTGAGAGTCGTGACTTTCCTTCAGTGCAAATGTAAAAAATATGTACCGAATGTAAGATAAAGAGTATTTAATTAGAAGAATGACAAGGAAAAATGCAGTTGGCCTCTAAGCCCAAGACAGACAGACACATCCTGGAGTAAAATAATATGAAATTTTTATTTATTTTATTCTTCATGAAATGTTATCAGTGTTTTGTAATTCAAAGCTTTCTCACCCCTCACTGCTAGTAAATCTAGCAATAACTGCAAAGGCCTATCAGATTTGTGGCTCACTAATGTGAGAATTATTTAGGCACTTGGTATTACACTATTTCAGTCCTCATTAGCTCATAATGACACCTACAGTATTAATAGACTTCCAACTTTGCATATGCTTCATATATGAAAAACAACTAATCTTCATTCAGAAGACCATATATCCCATATAAAAAATAAGCACTGCCACGATATATGTCTAATCATATTTCTCACATACTATGGCTTACTTCTGCTTGTAGCAATAACAGTCAGTTACTGATCCCTATTATTCACGGGCCACTTTTGGACAGAATTTCAGAACATGTCAGTATTTAAGCCATACATCCTGGTCTCTCATCATTTCCTAATGCTTTTTCTTTGAGATCCATGCCTTGGGGTGAAGCAAAAGAATTTCATACTATTTAGGGGAATTCAAGCTTGAAATAAACACTACTTTGAATTCACTGACTAGCATTCAATTTCCCAAATCTAATGAAGATACCTACTTTCTATTTAGGGAAATATTTGAGACTAAAAAAAGAGTAAGAATACTGATGACTCTATCCTGCAAAACTAAAGCCATGCAATGTCAGAACAAAAGTTGTACATTTTGTGATAAAGATAAGCCACCCAGATTTTAAGAAAATTAAAAGACAGTAGATTAGATTTTACTGAGAAGTTGATAATCCTTTAAAACACAATTGACAATAGAGTCTTAAATGTTACTATGAAATATCAATAGTTT